GCTTGGGACGCAGCTCTGGTCTCAGCAGAACCCAGACGAGTGGCTGTTGCCGATGGCCGGTTTGTCCCCGCCACTCATTCTTTCTGTGAGTGGCAGGCACATCACAGAGGAGATCCGACTGGGAGGGGGAGAGCCGGCGCTGCCTGGGTGGTAGTTTTATGGAAGATCTGGGGCCTTGTTTGCCATAGACGTAAAACCTGATTTAACTCAAAAATCCTGGAGCGTGCACTAATACCTTTCCAGAATGCCTGCTCTCCCTTCCCTGAGCGTGGTGGTGGGACTGTGTGAAGCTTTGCTTTTCCTTTTTCTTGCTTTGATTTATCTGAATGCTCTTCCCTGCCTTCTGTTATTTTTTTTTTTCTACTTTCTTCATGAACTTTGTTCCTGATTTCCATTTTTTTTTCCTTTGGGCTTTTTAGAGTTATCTCCCTCAGGTAGATTTCTAAACTCTCAAGGCTCACTTTATTTTCTCAGCAACTTACTTGTATCTCTGATATGATCTCAGTCCGTGAACATTAATCAACAGAAAACCACATCCATCATCGCAGACACTGCCATAGAGATACTACTCAGGTCTTTGCCCTGCCCGTCATCTTATTCTGCAAAGCGGGACTCAATTTCCCATAAGCAGAAGCAAAATCTCTATTTAAATCCCACTTGCAAGGTCTGGGCGAGCTTCCTATTTATAGTAAAATCCTTTTTATAATGATCTCATATACGGTACCAGGAAATTGCTCATGGCTGGGTCAGGCCATAGGCCAACCTAGCCATGATGTGAGATTTACTTAAAAAAATTCCTTCATGAGCCTCTGGAATTCTCCAGAGAAGTGTTTTCATAGAGTAGATGACAATAAACAGGATCACCCAGGATGGATTACTGTGGTAGGGACATTAAATTTAAGTTCAAAGGGAATTTCCACTTTTATCAGGCCAGTCTCAATAATTTTTATCGCTTTGGGCTTCGTAAATATCATATTGGGTGAATCAGGTTGACTCTAAAGAGATTTATGAAATATTTTATATGCAAGGTGTGGCTGGAAAATATTTACCTCTGGACTTCCCAGGAGGCAGAGAAGTGTGATTAGAGGCACAATCTCTGGGGACACAGACAAACTGGGGGTGAATCCTGCCTTTGAAGAGCCCAACCGAGGCTTGGAGCCAGTGCTTTAATCTCTTTGGATTTCAGTTACTGTATCTGTCAAAAAAAATCCCTATTGCACAAAGTTTTTGCAAGAATCAATGAAATAACATATATAAAGCATCCAGCAAAAGATTTGCCACAGTTTTGTGGTGTGATAAATGTCTGCTTCCTTTTCTTCTCAATATGCAGTTGAACAAAAGGGAGGCTGAGTGGATAGGCATGACCTGGTGTCCTCTTCTCAAGAGACAATGAATCATTGTCTTCTATGTTCTTGTGTGTTTGGTGCAGAATGATGTCTCACCTCCCACAGGATGGGTACAGTGTTATTCTTCCAGTGATGCAGGGCCATTGGCTACCGACTTCTGTGTACTCTGGGAGCTGGCCATGAGACCAAGTGACAGACCATTTCATGCACACAGGGACCAGGTCTCCTCTGGCAGGGAAATAAACCAGGGGCAGTGAATGATATCCGGTGGTCCCAGGGCATCACTGTGCCACCCACTAACATCCCTGCCATCCCTCTCTAAGTCACTCATCCTACAGATTGTAGGGGTTCCAACAACGAGTTAGACCTGGTCTCCAACCTGAAGGAGTAGATCTATTTAATATAGAGAGATGACAATGTAAAACAGGGAGAGGAGGCACACAGACATGTGTATAAACAAGGGTCATAATGGTGATATCAACAGTGCCCTCCCTAGGGCATGACCGATATGTTTTAGCTGAAGTTTGGGAGAGCTCCATGGGAGAACGCTTGCTTTGAAACTAATCTCAAGTACCAAAAAGTAGAAGAAAATCAGGTGCATAAGCAATTAGTCCATTCCACACCATCTGACCACAATGGAAGGACGCTTTGAGCTCACTGTTGTAAGAAGAGAGTAGAAACTGAAGTGAAAATGATTTCTCTGAAAATAAAACAGAGCTGTGCATGATCACCTTATATACTGGTCCATTGCCAGACTAAAAATGTACTTCTGCACCCCAGCTGGCCTGGCATGTCACTCCTGCACACACCAGGGCCTATACATGGGATTTTAGAACCTCCCTCACCCCTTGGACAGGAACTCTGTATGGCCAACAGGATGCTGCTCTGACTCCCATATCCTCAGAAGCTTCCCTTCTTCAGATGAATTCAATTCTTTTCCTTTGGTCTTTTTACAAAGGCTCAATTCCTCCATCACTGCCTGCTTAGCTCTACTAGATCGTTTCTGAATTTTTTATTTCTTGTAGTATTAGAGTTCCTGATTCAATAGGGTGTTCTACCAATGGTCTGTTGGTAGTGAATGCTGTGTAGAATTGTATTAGTCCATTTTCATACTGCTAGGAAGAAACACCCGAGATTGGGTAATTTATAAAGAGAAAGAGGTTTAGTGGACTCACAGTTCCACCATTTTCATACTGCTAGAAAGAAACACCCAAGATTGGGTAATTTATAAAGAGAAAGAGGTTCAATGGACTCACAGTTCCACCTGGCTGGGGAGGCCTCACAATCATGGCAGAAGGCAGAGGAAGAGCAAAGGCACGACTTACATGGTGGCAGGCAAGAAAGCGTGTGTAGGGGAACTGCCCTTTTTAAAACTATCAGATCTCAGGAGACTTATTCACTATCACAAGAGCAGCTAGGGAAAAACCTGGCCCCATGATTCAATTATATCCCACTGGGTCTCTCCTATAACATGTGGGGATTATGGGAGCTGCAATTCAAGATGAGATTTGGGTGGGGACACAGCCAAACCATATCAAGAATTAATCTGAAAGCTTTTATACTCCATATTTTACTTCCTCATGCCTCATACAAGGGATACAGTGTGTTGGAGAAAATCAGATTCTTTAGTTGGTTAAAGATCTTGTGAATGGGGAGGAAATTGAAAATTATAGGAAGTCCCTAAGAATATAGGAGAGAGATAGCTGAGGAGACTAGGACCCCTGCAAGTTTTTATGGAATGATATATGTGGGATTCTCGGATTGCCTTCCATGCAGGAAGCTACCTAAGTAACGACTGGCATCTCCACATATTATATCTAGCTCATATCAATCATGACACTTAACTTTGGTTTACCCTCAGCCCCTAAATTTAGTATACCCTATCTCTTCTTTCTGTTCATCATTTGATAGTTTTCCATCCATCTCTTGTTGAGGAAACCCTGAGTTTATTTGCTTCATAGAGATGCTTGGATTTTCTTAGGAGAGTTCTAAAAATGACGAAGATGGCAATTGAGGGAGAAGGGAGAAAGGGACTCTGGTACTTCTGGATTTGTGCAATGAAAATTTTATAGGCAGAGTAAAATTTTTGTGGATGTACTGCTTTTTGGAGATTATTCGCAAAACCATTCTGTATGCCATGCAGATGTGTTTGAGATCCAGGGACTGATGAAGAAAAGCCCACACTCAACAGATCCCAGAATGTGACCAGCTCCTCTGTCTCCTGCAAACAGCTAACACTTCTTGCAGAGAATTGTCTGCCTCCCTGAAGATGGAAATCAATGACTTAGAAACCAATTAAACAATTCAAATAGCAACTGATAAATGGATTAACCCTCTATAATGAAATTCCTCTAGCTTTTGTCTTCTGCCTTCCCCAGGTAAGTTTTCTATTCCTGGAGGCAAAGCAGAGGCATGGAGGAAGTGGAGGCCAGAGGGAATCACATTAAAGTGGGTGAATCCGTTTATCACTTACTGTCTGGATGGTATTTCTGCTCACAACTCTGCTTCCTTTTTCAGATTTGTACACTGTGGGACCCTGATTAATGTTAGCCAGTGAATAATGAAAGGCAGCAGCAGACACTGGGTCTGGTGAGGAGGAAGACACTCAGATGATTAAGGCTGATCCCATAAACAGAAAGACTTTTCTTCTTAGTTGCAAACAGGGAGTATGAATATGACAAAGAAATGCCCACAATAGGGAGGGAGAAACAGAGAGAAAGGGAGGCATTTCTCTTCATGCAAATAACCTGTTCAAGGCTTCTCAAGCAGCCCCTGGAAATGGAATGATTTTGGTGCTTGAGGACAGGTGCTATTCTCCTCATAGGCTTTGTTTTCAAGGTCATGTCCCAAGATTTCTCTTTGCCTTTGTTTAAGGACCTCTATCAGGAGTGGGTTTTGAAGTTAGTGTGTTCAGTTTCTTGTGACGGTCTTAAGGCTAAAGACATGCTCAGTAACTCACCATTTAATCCATCTCTAGCATGTGGCTGAACCAAGTGCCTAGAAACCTGGGTCTAGAAACTTTAAGGCACTTGGGGTCTTGGGTACTTTCCATGATCAATGGGTCTGGAATTCAGGGAGATGAGACTCCCCTTCAGGGAGACTGATACCCTACCAGGATGTTTGTCCAAGTCCCCAAGAGCATCTTTGGTGTTCTTCCTGGAAATGACCACCCATCAGCGCTTCTTTGTTTTCCTTTTCAGGGACAGGAAGAATATCTCCTAAACAAAAGCACCCCTCCCAATGGCACGGTCCAGGCACTGGCTCTTTCTTCTCCCTCTCCTCACATTACAATGTGTGGTTTCCATCTGATGCCTGGGGCCTGGGCCCACAGGGCTGATTGTTTAGGGCTGAGAGTAGTTCACTTGACCAGTACCCCTTCTGGATGGTTTGATCATCTAAGGATGCAATCAGAGGAGCAGGGGGATTTCCACAACAACACAGAGCTGGGAAATACTCTAAAAATTAATCTCTGGGTGACTTGCAAGACATTATTAGTACCATTAAGCCAGAAAGGGTCCAAAAGAAAGCCTAGCCCAATTTGCCAACTTGGTTATAATAAATCCTTCTGGAGCAGATTCTACCACACTGTAGGAGGAGAAGGGGCAGTTGAAACTCATATAAGCCTGAAATCGAATGTTTTAAATGTTCCCACAGCCCAGAAAGGACCGGATGGAACAGTCATTCCCAATAACTACTGTGACTTCTGTTTGGGGGGCTCCAACATGAACAAGAAGAGCGGGCGGCCTGAAGAGCTGGTGTCCTGCGCAGATTGTGGACGCTCTGGTGAGTGCGGCCCCTTCCCACACCAGGTGCCCGTAGACCAGGAATGCTCCTCTTGCATTCCTCTTCCATCCTGTTGGTGGTGGAGACTGGAGAGGGAAGCGATGGTGGCGATGCTTTCGAGTGGAGAGGGGTTTTCAGCTCATTCCGTATTTTTCTTCTTTGGGTCTCAAGAACCAAAAGTTATGCCCTAGGATCCAGGGGAAAGGGCAAAGAGAAGTTTTGGATTTGTGTCTGGCCTTTCTATGAGGTGCATATTTCTTTGTGCATGTTTTTATGGACCACAGCAAGGTAGGGTGGAAAAACCTGGAGAGAAGGCAACGTGCTTTCTCGTAGTGGACGATGCACATGTAACAGAAAGATGTGTTTGTTCTGTGGAAGTGCCTAGGGCAAACCCAAAGAGTGTGGTGTGGAAACATGAGTATGGGGAAAGCAACCACATCTTGAATTGTGGGAGTCAGAGATTCCCGGGCTCCTGGCTAGCTGCATAAACACCACCTCATTGGCCACTCGTCTCATTTTCTAAAACGGAACAGAAGATACCCTGGTAGGTCAATGAGGCAAAAGGACGGGCATTCCTAGGGCTAATCTGTAGTTGATTTGGTGTATATGTTTCTATTTTAACCTGTTCAAAGGCTAAAATAACAGAAAGAGACTTTTGGTCTTCTTCCTTCATGCTTAAAATGAATTCAGGTCTTCAGGTTATGTTCAGGAGGTTGTTTTGTTTTTTAGTTCTGACCAAACCATTATTTTCGGCTGGCCATGGTTGGTTGGTACTACCTACTTTTCATATTGTATTATGTCATCACTAGACCACAGTGCGAGGCCGGGAGGAGGGAATTTCAACCCCAGTTTTAGTCTCATCAGCCCCTGATATGAGTAGGTGAAACAGTTTGGTTGGATGCTTGGTTCCAGCAGTGAGGAGTCATTTTTCCTTTCTACCTTTCTATCCAGTGTCTTTTTCACTCCCAGTCCCCAGAGAAGAACTGAGATGACCCCATCATGGTTGACTGTAGCGACTCAGCTCTTTCCTTGCTCTGTCTGCAAAGCTTAGCTTTAACCCTTTTATATTTTGATGGGAGGGCTGTTTAGGGCTTAAGGCTGGCTTGAGTAGCAAATCAGTAATTTTAAAAGGACTGTGGTTTCTGCTGCACACAACCCTCAACTGTAACTCTCAAGGACCCTGATAGGGCGGTCCATTTGTGCAATTCTGTCAGTTCATTTACTGTCCAAACATGGTACCTAACATTGAATTTTTTGCTCTATGGATGCTAGCATAGAAGACAGGGCTCTTGTGATAGCAGAGTCTGCTTTTTTAAGTTACTTTAAAAAAAAAGATGAAATTCAATGCGGTGATTTTTAAAAGCAAGCAATCAGATGAAATCTCTACTTCCAGAAGCAAGGTCACTTGGAGTGATGTTCTAAGCAACACGTTATGGACTGCTATAGGTTTGGATGGGTTAGAGGGGGCAGCTTCAGAATTCTCATTGCAAACTGCTGTAATTTCTCCCCTTCGTTTCTTACAAAAGACAGGGTGCTAGAATCCAAGCCATGGAATGTCAGGAGTGGGAAGTTGTTTTTTCTATGCAAAGCCTCTTTCCACAACCTTCTCTCAGCTTTCCCCCCAAGGTTCTGTCTGCTATGTGGCTCAGGGAGTCATTTTCTACCAACCTAGGTATTCTCATTGCATTTGCCAAGGATTGGTTTTGGTGGATCATTTAGTCAAGGTCTGCCTCTGATGTTCCTGAAATAGTTGATACCATGGGAAGAAACAGGTGTCATTGGCCCATGAGATGAGATGTGCTTGTTAAGGCAGGTGGGCGAATACTTCTCTGGAGCCTCCCTACGGTCCTTCCAGAGAAGAGTATGGAGCTTGGAAGAGCTTCCTTCCCCCTCCCATCTACCCTACCACTGCTGTTTCCTGGGAGGAAGTGAGAGTCCTGAAATTGGCACCATGAGGGATGTATCATTCACTTATACAAGAGCAGTCTTGGGGCTCATTTAGAATGCGAAAAAGTTTAAACCTGAGTTGTACAGATTTCAGGATGCTCTGATTTATTAGGACTTTTCGACTCCTATTTCTCACCTTCGTAGTGCCCTGAGTGAGATTTGACAACTGAACTTTCTGGAGTAACCAATATCTGGGCATGGTTGGTGACTGGAGAGTGTGTATGTGTGTGTGTGTGTGTGTGTGTGTGTGGGGTACACTTGCATGCACATGTATGTGGATGCAGATCACAGAAATTTCCTCCGGTAGTTAAAGAAAATAAACTCTTTTGTCACCTACCACTTATCAGACTTTCCAACTTCCTTTTGCTTTCAGTGCAAATGAACCACATGGCATAGGGGGAGAATTGAAAGGGTTCTGAAAGAATGGGATTAGAAGCGAGTAAAAATAAAAATGAAATGGATGGAGGCTTAACCACCTTGAATGGGTTATCTGACAGTAATACCTTTGTAGAGCTGACTGTCAAAGTGAAGAACAAATATCGTTCAAAGAAACACCAACAGAAAACACCAAAGGAATCCCAACCAGGTTTAAAAACCACCAAGGAAAATCATTGTCTGGGGCAGGGTTGAGTGAGCGTGCAAGCGCCTGTGTGTATGCACAACAGAAGAAAGATCATGGTTGAAGCTTTTGCTGTCGGAAGCTGTGGACATATGTACTATGGTAGAGGTGATGCCTTTTCCGGGAGTGGGGGAAGCCTCTTCCCTGGAAATGTTTGCTTTGTCCCAAATCCCTGTCACCAGGTGATGCACCGGGTTAATCCCTTTGGTGTGCAAGCGGTTTAATATCTTGCTATTAAGAATAGCATTGTAATAATGTAATGAGAATATTAATAATGCTGTCTGTTGCTTAACCCATGTGCTGATATATTCATCATACATGTCAGCTCATTTGGGAGGAGAAGGCAGGAAGGAGAAGGAGGCAGCGGCCGCAGCACGTACCACGGAGGACTTATTCGGTTCCACGTCAGAAAGTGACACGTCAACTTTCCACGGCTTTGATGAGGACGATTTGGAAGAGCCTCGCTCCTGTCGAGGACGCCGCAGTGGCCGGGGTTCGCCCACAGCAGATAAAAAGGGCAGTTGCTAAACCCACGGAACAGACTCTCTGGGCAATTAGTCATCCCCCTCTGACTTTGGTCATTGTGCTCGTTCTGATATATATTTTTTTTTAATGAAAGACAACTTTAGATTTTCCCTCTATCCTTGCTTTTTTCCCCCTCACCTCCCATGTGTCCCTCCATCCCTCCCCCCACCCCTCTGTTTTGGGTGTGTACAACAGAAGCACAAACTACTGAAACAAAACAAAAGAGCAGAATGAGCGTTCTTCTGAGAGATGGCATCGTGATGTGCTATTTATTTTCTATAGAAATAGGAAGTTAGGCGGATTGTCTCTTTTCTGAGGGGAGGGGGTCTTTTTGACAGGAGCAGAGTTGATGTCCTCAATTTTCATATTTATTGGCAAAAGGAAGAGAAGAGGAACTTTGGGTTTGGAAACAGAGAACCAATAACATTAAAACATTATTATTTATATATTCTAGCTATTATTAGAATCAGACTTTTTTTGAGAGAGGGAGAGAGAAGGGAAATCAAAGAAATTGAAGCAATATCCTGTTTAGAGGCAAGCCACTGGGGGGAGAATTTCCTCAATGGGAGACGGTGGCACTTTCTGTGCCCCATGGAGTTTGTGGCTCCCGGTGGCAGACCCCTCCCTCTTTCTCCTCCCTGACCTTTCCATCTTTCTCTCTGCTTGCGAGAAAATGTCAGTAGTTCCAGAGAAGTTGGGGTGCCTATGCCTGGCCTCCCTCCACACCTGGGCCCTGACCAGCCGCCTCCTGGGCTCCTCCTCCTCCGTCAGTAGAGCTGCTGTTTTGTTATTGCTGGTTTTTCCTCACTTTCCTCCTGGCAAAGAACGACTTCCAAATGCGGGGATGGAATATAAGCAGAACGTCACGGGCTCAGCAGTGACTCCACCACCGAGGCCGAGGCCGTGCTCCTGGAAGACAGAAGGAGACGCCACCATGTGTTTCCCCTCCCCTTGCCCCTGTTAAGAAACATATCAATACCCGTTGGATGATCAAGGCTACCGTATTTCTTCAATTTTTTTTTTTTTATAGTGCCCGCCAGGCGCTTTGTTTTATGTTTCCAATAGCACTTCCTGAAATAAACCAAAGCAACACTGCTCAAGGCCCCTGGGGCGATGGAGAAGGCCACCCACCTCACTGACAGTCCCAAGAACGACCAGCTGCGAGGTCCTAGTCAAAAGGTATGTCTTGGCTAACCTGTCTTACAATATGGGCAAAACCATCATATCTATTTTTTAGTTTTCTTTTTCTTTTTCCTTTTTCCCCCAGCTTGCTTTTTTGTTTTCCTGGGTTTGGACCCCCTTCTTAGTGTAAGAGTGGCTACTGGAGTATCTCCCCCTGGCCCTCTGTGGCCCGCGTGTGCATGTGAACTCATGTGGGCCCCAGCATAGGTGTGGGATCTGAGTCTTGCTTGGACTATGGGAGGGGCTCAGTGTGGAGAATGGCGGGCTTCTGGCTTCAACTACAAGAGAAAATGGCTAGGGAAGTGCTTGGCTAACTCTGCCTCCCTTGGCTAAACCTGGAAGTGGAGTCCAGGGAACTGAGATTGAAGTTGGCTGCTGGCTTTGGTTAGAAATAAGGAGGTGTGGCCACAGAACACTGCATGTCTAGGTAGTATTTCTTACTCACTCTGGGTACCAATTTCACAACCAAGGGGATGAGTCCAAATTAAAGAAGATCCCTGATTAGGCACAAAACTCAACTTGGCTGTTTGGAAGATTCCGCACTCCCTTTAAGGTTGGCCAGGGTCTCCGGCCTCCAGGAGTGCACGGTTCCAGAAACACAAGCAGAACCATTTGACATGGGTTGAGGGACCCAAGTAGCTGCCTGGTTAACAGACTGCTTATCAGCGTCTCTGGGAAGATCTACTTTGACAGTCCAGCCCCTGCAGATCCTCGTGAATTAGACCAC